GATAGAAATGTAAATGATATAGTGATATAGTAAAAGTATGTTCTCTAACGTTACAAGCCTTGTATGTTTTAAATGTAAAAAAAAATTTGGATGCTTAAAATAAAATAAACGAATTTTTAGCTCATATCTTAAATCAGAAATAATATTTTATAAAACCTTGATTTTGGAGAAGCAACATTTATATGGTGTTAACACTGAACAAACAGCTGTGATCATGTATGGTCTATTTCACAATAAATATGTCAATATTAAGAAAACTACATTTGGCTTTGGAGTGTAAGTTTGCACTAATACAAAACAAACATAAATATATATTCAGTCATTTGTTATACATAATAGTCTTATGAAGTTCAGTGTTTACATGTTTACACATCAGTGTTAAAATTGTTAATGCAATATTTTCAAAAAATTCCGGTGCATTTTAATACATCAATAAACATTAAAACAATACAAATCAATACGATGGGAAAAACAATCACATCATACATGAAAAACCTTCAGTAATAATAACAAACAGGTTTGTTTTTTATTATAAAGCTGCTCAGCGAAATATCTTTTTCTGCTTCTCAGCGATCTCCATCGGTTCCATGGCTTCAGGATCGACACCTTCATAGAGTGGCTGTTTGATGTGTCTCCAGACCACCAAACTAACCCGAATCACAAACAGCACACAGGCTGCAGCCAGCAGCACAGCTGAGAGAAGAAAATCGAATCAGTGCAGCTTTTGCACGTGACACACGGTGACACAGAGCTCATTTTGTGGGTGTATTTATCTAAAAAGTTTAGTGTGGATGCAGGGATTTATGTGAAGTCTTACCAATGAAGACGCCATTGCGACTGGGTGATTCAGCATCATAGTTTTTGTCAAGGTTTCCAGACAGCGCCCAGATCACAACGGGGTAGGTAATGCAGACGTACCGCACATGCTTGTCGAGGACAAGATTCTCTAAAACAAACCTATGAAACACAAAACGCGTCGCTTTAGCATCTCAATTTTAATATGTTAGGTTCTAACATATATTAATATGTTAGAAGCCTAAGAGTTCAGCCAATTCTACTCCAGTCATATGGATAAAGATCATGCAAGGTCATAGGCCATAAGTTTTAGCTTTCATTGGATCATCTCCAAATTTTAAATATACTAATCATTGGGGGAAATAAGCGCGGTCTTTATTTGAACTCTTTCAAACATTATTGTTTTAAACAAACATTATTTGACAAATATTACAAAAAGATTAATATACTACATTAGCTTTCCATACTGATGCATAAAGCATCTGAGTTTTAGTGTAGCCGTTGCCCTTCAAAGGGAATTGGAGGGAACTGAGCTCTCTCAATGCTCTCGTTTGGGTTTTTTGGTTTTTTTAAGAAGCACACTCACCATCCAAGCAACAAAATAGTCAAAAGAGAGTATGAGAGTGTGGCAGCATCGTCTTGGGACATGTCTGTTTCATAAGCCAGTACAATGGTCA